TTAAGATCGGGAAGAAATTAGGGTTTTGACCCTTCTAACCTAAAAAATAGTTTTTGTTGTTTTTAATATTTTTTAAGAAAAAGAGTATATAATTAAGTTAGAGATAAAACCTAATTGTTCTAATTGATTTTAAATTTATTTAAAAAATAATTAAAGTTATCTAAAATTAAAATCTAATTAAATTAATTAATTAATTTTTGATAAAAAATAAAATCTAAACCTAATTTGTGAAAAGTATTATTTTTTATGATTTTTTGATAAAAAGGAAATAATTAATTGGTTAGTAAAATAATAAATAAATTAAATGAAATAAATATAAAAGAATAAAGAAAAGAAATTTGGGCCTGCAATAGCAATTCTGGGGGGTATGAGAAGCAACTTCTGGGCCCAAAAGATGGAGGTCCACGTTGACTTCCAGAATCCCATGCATGTGCGTTTGACTAGGCATTTGGTGCTCCTCCATTGCTGGCCTTTGGATCTGGTCTCCTGACACTTGGCTTGGTTGGATTGTGAGGACGTATGGTGGACCCTGGGTTTGTATACACGTGAGATTACCTGAAAGAAATTAAGAAAAATACAAACGTTGGAGGCAGGGGTTGAACCCCTGACCTCAAGCTCCCCAACACCTTAACGCTTGCCTAGCTACCACTGGGCCAATTGTTTTTGTTGTATGTAATATAAACAAGAATTAATATAAAATAAACAAGCGAAATCACAAAATATTAGCGCGAAAATTCAAATGGACGAGTGATGGCTTGCCACGTCTTCGTCTCCCTCCTTGCACCGTTGGTAAAAGTCCCAGACTTTTACCTACGGACATTTGTCCGTCACTACAGGCCTGCCTATTCTCAAAATCAATTACAAGCGTGATAAATAAAAACCAAAGCGATGGATAGCTTCGTCTGAACCTGCTGAGTACAGTGGTGGCCCTTTCATGGCCCAATTTCACTTGTACATCAAGATCCCAATTTGAAACTACAAACCCTAATAATGGTGAAATCCAATATAGTCCATATAAATGCAATTAAACAATATAGAAAGCTTGCAAATGTTCTATGGATCAAGAATATATCATTAATTCATGCTATCAAGGCCTAAATCATGCAAATCGAATTCAAGAAATAAGCCATGTCGTGATGGACTTACAGTGCGATATAGGGCCTGGAAACGCTTGAATTTGATTGCTTTTGCTTGCTGATGACCTCAGGGAACGATTGGGATGGTCCAAGGATTTTGAATTTGCCTGTAACTAGGAATTCGATTCACCACTTTTTCTTGTTTTTTCCAAGTTTTGTTCTTGATCACACGCCTCTTTTTCCAGCCTCTTTTGGTATGCAATGGTTCTATATGTATTGAGGAATGCATTAGGGTTGAAAGCCTGGCCTCAATCTTCCTCCATCAATGTCCTTGATCTTGATTTGATTCATCTTAAAATCTTTCCAAAAATGATCCAAATCCAATCTTTTTGTGCACACATGCCTTTACACGAATTTGATCTCATGCTAGCTGTAATTTAAGACCTGAAACAAGCACAAAATCTTGTGTTTTCAAAATTTTGGATTTTCTATGATTTGTTTTGATTTAAAATGATTTAATTCAAATAAAAATCAAAATAAATAATAAAAATAAGATAATGACAAATGGCAAAGGCTAGGGCTCGTGGACCATGTTGCCAACTCAAAACAAGTGAAAAAGATTGGGCTCATTTGGCAAAATTTAAGTTTTAGGCATAGTTGACTTTTTGCAATTTTGCAAAAAGGGTCAACTTCACCAATGCATAACTTCCTCAATTTTGACTCTTTGAATGTGTTCTTGGACTTTTTAGAAATATTGAAATGTCCTCTAAGCAACCCTTTTGGTCTCATCTCAATTTGATATTCCATTCTCATTTATGAAGCTTTGACAAAAAAGGTGTTTTTGTTGACTTTTCAAAATGACCTATAATGTCCAAATTCATAACTTCTTGTGGGTGCATGTTTTGAACTTGGGAGCTGAAGATGGATTTTAGAGCATGGAATCCTATTCAAAATTAGCTTTGGATGTATCATTTCTTATAAAGTATGAGAAAGTTATGCTTGGTCAAAGTTGAGTTGACTTTTCCTACAAAACCCTAATTTAGCAACTTTTGGTTCTTGATGAATTAGGAGAAATCCTCGATGAATCATGATCAACCCTTGATCAAATGATGAAATATACTTCAAAATGAGGATGTTGACCAAAAATCTTGAAGTTTGACTGTATGTGGGCCACAATTGACTTTTTCCCTAGCATAGTCGATTTTCAGGCCTTTGAGTAATTGACTGAGCAAATTTTCTCTGCAAGGCTTGAAACTTGACATGGATGATCCTGAGAACATAATAGGACAATGGTGAGAATTTGGGATCCCTTGGACTTAAGTATCTTGATGCAATATGAAACCCTAATTTGAGGTAGATTGCCTTAGGTGGGAGCTTGTCTGGTCAACCCTTGGATTACTTTGAGCAACTTGAGTATTTTTCTTGAAATGTTTTGAAAAAAATGGGAGGGAAAATTTTGGGGTACAACAACAGGCATAACATAAGGCATTACTCGTAATGAATGCATCATTACTCGTAAGGTAGGGCAGGCAACAAGGCAATATGCGTATCGTAGGCAGCAATACGCGTATGGGCAGCTGAAGGTGTAAACTGCCCAGTTTTGCGAATTCTTCCCGTTCTCGCATGTGAAGTGTATTCTCTCGATCCATAATGACTAGTAAGGCTTAGGTTGACATAAGAAGGCTAGTAATAATAATAAATTAAGTTTAAATCATGGGATATTATATGGAATTTATGTTGTATAATGACGATGATGATGGTCTGTATTGACGAATGTTGAAGGCTATGTCTTGTGGTTGTATAATTACTTTGTTGCATATGATGTCGCGTGTTGCATAGTGATGAGGGCTTGTGCCCAGTTGTTGTCCTATAATGGAGTTGTGATGAGGGTTTATACCCTGTTATTTTCCAAATTGGCATACGAGATGAGGGCTTATGCCCCGATGGTACCACATGCATTGAGTTGATATCGATCTCATTGCATTGCATTGTTCTGAGTTGATGTTGTATTACGTGAATGATGTGTTATGTTAGGAAGTACTGTGAGATATGTGAATTGTGTGACTACTACTCCTTAGAATGTGATATTCATCGTATATGTATTGAATGAAATTTTCACCCCTTTTGTGTTGTTGTGTCTGTGCTCTCCTGGGAGTACATATAATCAGGTACCCAAGTAGTGCTTGGAGTGAGTGTTACCTGATCGTTTCCTAGGAGTATCTCTGATACGTAACACATGAATTATGGATCTTTGTCATGCTTTTTTTTATTTCATTTGCTACATATCTTCCATTTGACTTATGTTGGACCACACATTTATGGAGTTTTATTTGTTGTTGAAGATGTAATGACATGGAATTGAACTGATTGTATTATTCCACTGCTGAATTGATTATATTTGAATAAAATGAGTAATAAAGTGACTTTAAACTTTATGAATATTTGAATTATGTGACATCCTACTTATGTACTCTGATATATGTTAATGTAATTACTATTGTGGGAAAGTGGGGTGTTACACTTTCTGTCCAGGTGCAGGTAGTCTGCATCTTTACAGACATGTCTATTTCACCGAGTCTCTCTCCGAGACAGTGCCCAAATCATTAGGCCTTTCATGCGGGTCTGAACTTACCCGACAAGGAATTTCGCTACCTTAGGACCATTATAGTTACAACTGCCGTTCACCGGAGCTTCGGCCGTCGACTTCCCTGTCATCAGGTCACCAACTTCCTTAACCTTCCGACACTAGGCAGGCGTCAGCCCCCATACGACTTTGCAAAGACCTGTGTTTTTGGTAAACAGTCGCCCGGGCCTAGTCACTGCGACCCCCTTTGTGAGGAGGCACCTCTTCTCCCGAAGTTACGGGGCTATTTTGTAGAGTTCCTTAGAGAGAGGTGTCTCACGCCCCTAGGTATTCTTTACCTACCCACCTGTGTCGGTTTCCGGTACAGGTACCCTCTTGTTGTAGGTCGTTTGAGCTTTTTCTGGGAGTATGACATTAATTACTTAAGCGCCAGAGCGCCTCGTACTCAAATTTTGGCTCGAGGAATTTTCTCTACCCCTTCTTACCCTTAAAAAACAGGGCACCACCCTATATTCTTGAACTGATAACCATCTTTCGGCTAACCTAGCCTCCTCCGTCCCTCGGGACCAACAAGGGGCAGTATAGAAATATTAACCTATTGTCCATCGACTACGCCTTTTGACCTGATCTTAGACCCTGACTAACCCTCTGTGGATGAATCTGGCAGAGAAATCCTTAGGTTTTCGGGACATTGGATTCTCACCAATATTTTCATTACTCAAGCCGACATTCTCGTTGTGATTCGTCCAACCACGACTAATAATGCAATTCTAATATTGGAGGCAATTCTAATTATAGATCCTTATAATTACTAGTCTATTGGCTATTCTTATGGGCATAGTGCTTAATTTGTATTATAGATCTTCTAAATTTTCAATAACGTGACATCTGTTTACTTATTAGTCTATTGGCTATTCTTATGGGCATAGTGCTTAATTTGTATTTGGCTTCTAAGACTGATATTTTTCCTAAAATCAGGGAAGAGTTTGATGTAGAAAGTAACTTCACAATTATGACTAGAAGAATCTATTATAATCTGTGCCCAAAATTCACCACAAGTAGTTAATATGTTGTTTTTCTAAAAACAAAACACAAAAAAGGACTAATAATATAGTGTGAACATGAGAACACTGTAGCTCTTAAAGTCAAAGACTCGTATTGAAATATCTTCACAAAGTACTCTAAATTTTGGCCAACACTTATAGCTTCTCATCCAAAGTCAAAATTGCAGCAGATGATCCTCTCAACATTACCAATTATAGATTTAATCCAAAGTAGAAATTGGTTTCATCTGTTAGAGTAAGCGATTTTCAATAACAGCATAGGCTAAAAGAGAGAACATGACACCCTTGCTCATCCAAATTCCGCGGTGGATGATGCATACAAAGGTGTGGACATTTATTGGAATTGCCTCAGCTATTGTTGGATTGCTTTCTTATATGCTCTAAGTTCTTCCTTCAACCATCTATTTGGAAATTGGAATTTCATGAAAATATTTCTTTACACCATTTTCAGTTTCATCATTTGTCTAATTATTTTGTTTGCAAGAACATGGCGAGACTCAAGAAGTCTTCGGTTCAAAGCTCATTCAGCATTTCTATGATATTGTCTTCTCGGAATCAACCTCTATAGTACCATATGATATCTATTTCACTAAGGTTTGTCATGGAGCAACAATAGAACTGTTGAATTTTGCTGATTTGTTTGCGAATAGAATCACCTCAGCGTGGCGTATTTTTAACAAGCAGCTAAAGAAGCAAATAATAGTTTATGTGGAAAACATGTTGTTGCCGGCTTATGAAAACTTCATTACAGAATTTGAGAATGTTGTTGGTAAAAATGCCGACGATTATATCATGTATGGAGTGTCCGACATTCAAGATGAGCTCAATAATTTGTTTCTGTTGCAGGATGTTGAGTCTGTCAGAGGAGCGGTTAGTAATCAGTTAGTTAGTTAGTAAGGGTTGGTTAGTGTTACTCATGGCATAAGAGAACTTTTTTATCACCACAAACTTGTTCTCAAGGGTTTGTGCTCTATATATCGCTGTAAATATATTTTACATTCAGGTGTTATAAAGGTTTGTTTGTTTGATACCGAAGCAGTAAAGCTTGTGGAGTTTGCACTGTATGACATTTTATAGTTTCTTTGCTTCTTTTACATCAATTCTATTGAGCAGTACATGTTGAAGTTGCAGCATAATAGATTTTATCAAACCAGTGCAGTAGGGCCTAATTTGAAAGATTATCTAAATTAATATCTTAATACCTAACTCATCAAATTCGGAGATACAAGAGACTTTAACGCCACATATTCATTAAAAATTTTAAGGCAGTGAGGATATGAGTCACCTCTCTTATAAGTTTAACATTTCTTCTATTCCTAATCGACGTTGTTGTGCATCTTATTGTGAATTACGACAAAATTCAATATCAATTTGTGAAAGTTTGTTTATCCAGTTCGATCAAACAATCTACTCTAGAGGAGAGAACAACTCTCAAATTTATTATACTCAGAAAGTTGTTACAAAAGATTACAGATGAGTTATAGAAAATAACGTTTTCCTTCAGGTTACCAAGAACAACCCGAAGGCTCCCAAAAATTATTGGTGCAAGGTAATGAAGTGGAAGAAGAAGAATGAACAAAGAATGATAACAAGAAGACTACTGTTGTATAAAATGAAGGAGATAAAGTAGAGATATAATATTAATAGTCTATGATAGCATATTTATACTAAATATTGAAAATGCCAAAAAGTCATATTAAAAGATAAGCATTGAGAATTGTAGAAATTAACTAAATTATCTTTCCAATATCATCCCTTAATTTAGATTTTCTATCAGAAGCTAACAACACCAATTTCATCTCTCAAGCAAAGAAATTGGTCTGTCTTAATTGCCTTAGTCAAAAGATCTGCTAGCTGTTTGAGTGCTGCAGTACAGAACTTCTAATACTCCTTTCTGCACTTGACTTCTGAGAAAATGATACTTCGTCTCAATGTACTTGCTTCTTCCATGTAGTACTGGATTCTTGACAAGATCAATTGCAGACTTATTATCAATCATCAGCTTCAGAGGTTCCTCAACTTCAACCTTCAGATCATGCAAGAGATTCAGCAGCCAAACAGCTTGACAAACAACTACAACACCTGCAATATACTCAGCTTCACATGTTGACAGAACCACGACAGGCTGTTTCTTGGAACTCCAGGAAATGGGACCTCCCAGAAATTTAAACAAGTATCCAGAAGTACTTCTCATGTCCACTCTGTCTCCACACCAGTCAGAATCATAATAACTTACTAATTCTGGTTCTGTATTTCTTTCAGAAGGAAACAACACTCCATATTTCAGAGTTCCATTGATATATCTCAGAATTCTGACAGCAGCTTGGAAATGAGACCACTTTGGATTATTCATGAATCTGCTAACCAATCCAACTACATAACAAATGTCAGGTCTAGTATTGCATAAATACCTTAGAGAACCAACCAACTGTTTGAAGGTTGTAGTATCAACAGAATCACCATCAGAGTCAGAATCCAATTTTTTATTGGTTTCTAATGGTGTCACAACAACTTTACAATTCTGCAGCTTAAATCTCTTCAGAAATTCAAATTCGTATTTCAACTGATACTGAATGATACCCTTCTTTGAGTACAGAATCTCCATCCCTAGGAAATATGTCATATCGAACTCATTCATCAGAACTTCTTTGAACTTCTTTATATCTTCTTGGCAGCTTCCTGTTAGCAAAATGTCATCAACATAGAGACACACCAGAACCATATTGTTATCAAAGTGTTGCACATAAACGCCATATTCCATCTCACATTTCTGAAACTTCTGCTTCTTGAAAAACAAATGAATTTTCAGATTCCAAGTTTTGGGCGCTTGCTTCAGTTCTTACAGAGCTTTATTCAACTTGTATACCATCCCTTCCCGATTCTTTTTCACAAATCCAGGAGGTTGTGACACATAAACTTCTTCCTGTAATGGACCGTTCAGAAATGCAGACTTCACATCCAGATGCATCAGAGGCCAATTTCTATTTGCAGCTAAAGCAATCACCAATCTGATTGTTTCATGCCTAGTTACAGGCGCAAACACTTCAAAGTAATCTAGCCCAGGTTTATGAAGAAAACCTCTAGATACTAGTCTAATTTTGTGCTTGCCAATTGAACCATATGGCTTAAGCTTCAACTTAAAAACCCATCTGAGACTGATGGCTTTTTTCTTATCTAGAAGCTTAGTCAATTTCCAAGTTTTGTTCCTTTCTATTGCCTCAAGTTCTTCTTTAATGCCATTCATTCATTCTTTCTTTTTGAGAGCTTCTTCAATGCCCACTAGTTTAGAATCTACTAACATGGCACACTGAACGACTTCTCCTTCAGAACCAACTTCATTATCCTGCAACATGTCGAAATCTATAAACCTTCTTGTTTTTTTCTTCTGATTCTCTGTGGTCTTTGAGCTTGTTCTGAAACAACACCAGAACTACTACCTTCAGAGTTACCACCTCAGAGTTTTCCCTTCCAGAACTATGATCACCACCAGATTCTGTATCATCATCAGCATCTAGATCAGAATCAACATTTGGATCAGAATCAGATCCACTGTCAGAATCTCCTTCTGACTCACCTTCAGAATCTTCAGAACTTTCTAAAACATCTTCAGAAGCTAACTCTGGTGTTGGCACTACACCATAATCTGATTGATACTTGTTCCAATCCCATGCTTCAGACTCTTTCACCACAATATCTCTACTGACTTCAACTTTATTAGTTTCTGGACAATAAAGCTCATACGCACCTGTACTGTGATACCCCACCAACAACATTACTTTGCTTCTATCATCCAGTTTTTGTCTTCTAGCTTCTGGAATGTTTTTGTAACAAACAAAGCCAAACACCTTTAGATGACTGACACTCTGCTTATCTCCAGTCCATTTTTCTAAAGGAACAACTTCCTTCAGCTTCTTCATTGGACACCTGTTCAGAATGTATGCTGATGTGGCAACAACTTCTCCCCATAGCACGTGAGGTAGCTTTTTTCCTTTCGGCATGCTTCTGGTCATAACAAGCAAAGTTCTGTTTCTTCTTTCAGCAAGACCGTTGTGTCGAGGAGTATGTAGAGCAGTAACCTCATGTTCTATTCCATTCTCCTCACAGAACTTCTGGAACTCTGTAGAGTTATACTCACCTCCACCATTCATTATGAGAATCTTCAATTTCTGACCACTCTGTTTCTCAGCCTTCACTTTGAACTTCTGGAACTCAGTATACACTTCATGCTTGAACTTGATGATTGTTACCCATGTCATTCTTATGAACTCATCCACAAAAGACACAAAATATTTGTTTTCTCCAAGTGAAGGTACTGGAAATGGTCCACACACATCAGAATGTACTACTCCCAGAGCATGCTTCGCTCTGGGGCTACTTCTGATGCAAATGGCAATCTGAGTTGCTTACCTTTCATGCATATCTCACATGACTTCTCAGGCTTCACAATCTTTGAAATACCATGTATAAGCTTCTTAGAACATAGATTCCCCAGACTTCTATAGTTCAAATGCCCCAATCTCTTATGCCACAGCTTACTGTCACCTTCAGCGCCTTCTGCACTAAGACACGTTACTTCAACTATTTCTACATTCACCTTGAATGTTCTGTTTCTTCCTTGTTCGGACTTCATAATCAACATCTGATTGGAATCGTACAACGTCAAAAGATTGTTTTTCATAACAACTGAGAAACCATTCTCAATCAGCTGACCCACGCTCATCAGGTTTCTTCTAATACCAGGAAGATACCAAACATCTTTGATGAGAATATCTTTCCCATTCTTCACTCTAACTCTAACATCTGCCATACCTTCTGCGTTAATATACTTATCGTCAGCACATCTGATCTTTGTTCTCCTTCTGGAGTCAAAGTCTTTCAGCCATTGTTTGTTTCAAGTTAAGTAATTTTAACAGTCAGTGTCCATATACCACCAATCTTTTGAGTATTTTCCATCAGAATCAAAAGCCATTAGTAGCACAGGTTCATCATCATAGTTTCCCTTAGCCATATACGCATCTTTTGATTTCCTTTCCTTGTTTGACCTACAATCTCTGGCAAAATGGACAAATTGTTTACAAGAGTAACATTAAACCTTCTTTTTGCCATACCTCTCCTTTCCTTTATGCTATCTCTTATCATCAGAAGTTGAGGTTTCTGACTTCTGGAATCTATCACCATGTTTATTATGCTTCTGGTCTTTCTTGACAAAAGAAGCCTTCAGAGCTTGCTCAACTTCCCTCTCAGAAGTTCTCTCAGACAGACGTAACTCTTGTGCTTCTAAACTGCTTTGCAATTATGCTATTCTCATGGTTTCCAGATCTTGAGAATGTTCAATAGAAACAACAATGTAATCAAACTGAGGAGTAAGCGACCTCAAAATGTTCTCTATGATTACATGTTTAGACAGAGTTTCTCCACACGCCTTCATCTCGTTAGTGATCAGGATCACTCTGGAGATATATTCATAAATTTTCTCAATATTCTTCATGTTCAAGTTCTCATATTGCTTTCGCATGGATTGAAGCTTCACCTTTTTTACTGATGCGTCACCACCGTAACATCTCACCAGTAAATCCCACGCCCCTTTTAACGTTGTTGAATCAACAATCTTCTCGAACACACTTTCATCCACACACTAATGGATATAGAACAGAGCTTTCTGGTCCCTCTTCCTCATAACCCTCTCAGCAGTTTTTTGTTCTTCAGTTGCATCTGCTGCAACTGGTACATAACCATCTGTAACCAGATCCAGAACACCTTGCGCACCAAACAGAACACGCATTTGTATCATCTATCTGTTCCAATTTTTGCCATTAAAAACTGGGAGTTTGGTGTTCAAATTACTGCCTCCACTCATTTTAAACCTTGCACAGATTTTCAGATCTTCAAACACA